GAGTAAAACTGGAAGGAACATAAACTTTGGCTGGTTAAATGTCAAAATAAAATAAGGCAGGCCAAAAACCAGAATGAGGAACTGGCTATAAATGGGGTAAAAACTCATAAATTCTTTTTTAAGCACTTCAGCAGTAGGAGTATCTGTTAAGCCATAGATCATCACTGCAAAAGACAAGGTAAGGCCATGGAAGAAGAAAAGAGTGCTTTTTATGGGCAAACTTGAGAAGGTTCCTAAGTTTGTTTATTTATGGGGGACTTGCAGTATCTGTCTGATATTGAAGTGACTGTAGAATAAGCTATGGGACACAAGAGCAAAATGAACCTTAATACTTTGGTGTGAGTGAATGATGTTCAACCCAAGAGCTCTGCCAGAACTCATCAGTGAAGTAGGTAAAGCACTGGCTATGGTGACCAATCCCTCACTTAAAACAGTCTTGGTCTCTGAGGCCTAAAAATGTGATAGATGTGACATCAGTTTTGTAAAATGGTTCTGGAGGAGATCCAAGGAGCTAGCAAAGCCTGACTGAGCCCATTATTAGAAACTGTAATTAAAAAAAAAAAAAGAATATACTGAGAAGTCACCATGACTTTTATAAAGAGAAGCCCTACAGAAGCCCTACCTCACAAACCTTCTGAAGTTCTTGGAAGTTATAAGGGTATATGAGGATAAGGGAGATCATCCTCATAGAGTATGCTCAGGCTTCTAAAAGGCTTTTGGTTGTCTGTCACCAAATTTAGTCATTGCATGGATAAACAGTTGAAAAACAGTCAGCAGAGAATATAAATAAATGGTCAGTTCTGACAAATCACAAATTATGTCTTCAAGCTTGAACAGGTCCTTGGGTGGTTCTGTCTGAGTAACAGTTGAAGAAAATGCACTATTAGGAATAGTCACACTTGGAAGAGGGACAGAGATGAAACAAAGTGCCCTGGGGCTGCTTAATTAACCCTTCGTGTATCTCACTTCAGTATCATGTGGTGGTCTCAGAATGAATCAAGCAATCTGGGGAAGTTTGGAGAAGCATCAATGGGACAGCTTTTATATAAGAAGCAGTAAAGTTGGATAGGGTTCATCAGCCCAGGAGAGAGGTGGCTGAAGAGAGATCTGACAAAGGTTTTTAAAATCCTGATAGGCCTAGAGAAGGTGACTAAAAAGAACAGTTTTTAATCTTTTCCAAAATAAGCACATAAGGGCATAAAAAGTGATTTGTAGCATCTCTGTTCTCAAGCTTTTCTCATACAATGTACATCTCCTTGCTGTAGGAAGCTATGGATGTGAAAAGTCTGCACAGGTGCAGAACACAAATGTACAACGTCATGGGAAAAAAATGCACTGTGGGTTATCAAGTACAAAAACCTTTGGCCCAGGAAGTCACTGAGCTGCAAAACGTGTGGGAGTATTCTGGGGAGGTGTCACATCCCCTTCTACTCTTGTGTAGACATTTGCTGCTGGCCATGATCAGAAACAGGTCCTGGGAATATGGGCTGCTGAGCTGACCTGACATGTTATGTTTTTGCGTTCCTCCCATAAGATTGGGAACTACATTACCCAGAATATCGAGCCTGGATGAAGCATGAGATGCTACATGGCTGGTGTTCTAATTAAAAGGCATTGTAATTCAATGTGGAGCCTGTGTCAGAGGGGAAAAAAAAGAAGGAAAATTACAGAAAGAAACACCTGAAGATGGCAGATTGCACAATGCTGTCCCTGCAGGCTTCCACCAGCTGCTGCTGGTATATTCATGCCAAGAGGTCAACACTTCTTCAGTAAGCTCTTGGTTCCAGGACACATCCCTGACACGTGCTCTTGCCCTCACTGAAGCAGGGTCTTTTTGGTCTTTGTGGATTGAGCCCTGAGTATTTATGTTTCTATCTTTACTTACAAAGCACAGTGACACATTTTTAACTGTAAAGCCTTTAACTGTAAAGCCTATAAAAGGGTGCTGCAACTATTTGGAGTCTACAACTTTCTCTTCTAAAGACTGCTTATATAGTCCTTGACTGTTGAAACTGTATCTTCATCCTGCAGAGTGCAAAACTTATTGTGTGATACACAGATACCATACTGGGATTTTCTTGCCATCTAAAACAGGAACATGTCCCAGCAGTTCTTCAGTTACCATTTCACAAAGCTATCCCTAAGAAATCTAGACTTGAAGGCAAACTTTGGTATTTGCTGGAAAGAGAAAGCAGATTTTGTTATTCCTGTTGTTCCTGTTGCCCCTGCATTTGGGATTTTAAGCAGGGCATGTGTAATTCCTGCACAAATTGATACACCTGAGAGCTGCTGTTTCCCAGCTAAGGCTTCATAGCTGAAGCTGTTATTCTGTGCCTGGGGAAAGACAACATTAACTACAGATCAGTGTTTTTATATTCATATTTACTCCTCCAGATAGAGATATCAGCTCATACACAAAATGGTTTATAGCCTGAATCCTCAGATGTACTCTGTGTGTTGCCACAAGAAAACATGATGCTAAACTAATTCTGCAAAACCCCACCAGTAGCCAGGGGTGTGTATTACTTTCTAAGAAGCCTAATATCAGGAGGTAAGGCAAAGGACTAGACTAATTTCGATCACAGGCACAAAGTTAAACAAAAAAAGTTGCGTCCAGGGAATTCAGAAGTTTCTCCAACATTCATCTTGCTGACCATAAAATCATCCAGCCTCCTGCCATTGCAGCTGGCCAGGAGAGGCAGGACATGAACTGAAGACTCTTCAATATGGCTCTTGAAAGATTGTCTCCCAATGTGTGTTGCAACTGTAGCCAAAAGAAGTGCAAGGTCTGCATCTCCTGTCTATACAGGTAGCAGTCCAACCCAGCAATGATACCCAGTCAGATTACCCTGGTGTTGTTCAACAGAGTGCCGCAGTGCTGCACGAGTTGGAATGAGCAGAAACATGGCATTCAGCTCAACATAATGACTCAAATCTGATCTGGATGTCAAAGTTTCAGGTGTCAGCCTGTGGTAGGTGCTGGAGCCTGCATAGGAATGCAGTTCCCTGCTTGGGACCTACACTGCTGGTGGACAAGGTTCCTGCTAACATGTCTAGGTTTGCCACCCAATTGCAGATCAGGCCAAAGGGAGCTGATGCAGTACAGACACCAGATCCTATCTCATCTGTTTTGACCTCAGAGCTGCCTTTGCCCTGTTCTTTTTCTGTTCCCTGGTGGAGCTGGGCAAGCAGCACCTTCCTGGGTGCTCTTTGAGGACAAGGAGAGAGTCCTTTCCCACAGCAGGCAATGGCCCATCCCTCCACAGCAGGGTGCCCCATTATCCATCAGAAGGTGAGGTCTTCTAGGGACAGGCCATGGCTCTTCAGTGAGATCCCTACAGCTGCACGCCTGGAAGCTGGTCTACAGAGGAGGGCCAGTGGAGATGTGAAAGACAGAAGAAGATCCTGCCTCTGCCATCTTACCCACTTATTCAAAGACTGAATACTGTGGCAATATTTCCATGTACTTCCATCAACATCACACAAAGCTGAAAAAGTATTTCCAGCCACATCCTGCATGGTACTACTACACACTTTCCAGACTCTCTCAGGCTGGCATTGATATAGGCAGGGTGAGGAGGGTATCACTGTAGCTCTGGAGATTTTAGCTGGAAATAGGAGGATCCCAAAAGGAAACAGAAAAACTAGACTATTTAGCAAAATGGACAGGAATTAATGAAGTGCTTCTGTTCCCCTGTCCCTGCATTTCCAGATGAAAAGGATTCATCAAAACAACATTGTCTATTCTATGTCTATGGGGTGAGATGAGCTCTTCCCACCCAGAAATATTGATTTAATTTTGTTTTTTCTTACACCTTGCCATCTGGGATTTGGCAGGTGAGAGAGAGGACTGGGTGTGCAATCTGTCGCAAGCACTAGAACCACAGCAATAACTGCAGAATGGGTAGATTAGGTTATGGTTGGTGGATTTAGGTTATGGTTGGACTTCATGATCTACAAGGTCGTTTCCAACCAGGATGATTCTGTGATTCTGTAACTATGCCACAGTGGTCTAGGGACAGCTGACAGCCATGTGGCCTCAGAATCACCTCAACTTTCTGCAGCTGAGCTCTACAGAGTAACCAAGAACATCCATTAAATGAGAGGGGCTGGAAATCTAGTAAGTGCATAAGCCAGCAACTAACTTCTGAAGAAAAATATGGTGTGGATGAATTGTATCACAGTTGCCAGTATCAGCTTTCTTTCATGATGCAGTTTCTTTGGTCTACCTGTCAGGATATCTAGATGGTGAATTTTGCAACTGCAGCTGTCCCTGGGATTAACTGCTTTTGTCTGCAGCAAATGAGAGTTTAAGGCATGAGGTGAAAATTCCATGAGTCAACACGTGAGGACAGGCAGAATGTGATTACTTAAAACTAGGCAACTAGGAGACAGGAGCCAAAAAAAAGAATGGTATGAATTCTCTAGGCCTGCTATGTGGCAAGCAAGTTTGATTTGTTGTTTTTTGCTGAAGCGCATCATGTTTGGGGCTTTTCAATCCAAGGCCAAGTTTGAATTGTTTCTCAAGCATTCTCATTTCTGAGTGATTGGTCATTCAGAGACAAGCAATGGCAGCCAAGAGCATTTATGCAGAGTGGTTGCAAGCGCAGGTGAGAGGGATGTGTGGGTGGCTGAAACACTACAGTGGCTGCAGCCACTTCTCTCCCCTAAAGGAGATCCGTGGGCTTGCAGAGGTGGCTGGGAGGGCCCAAAGAGAAATGCAAAATGGCTGATGGAATGGCAGCTGGTAAGCAAAGTGTTGCAGATGGGTGCCATCCACGCTGAGGGCCATGATACCTTGTGCTGTCTGTGAGGTTTGTACTGTCGCTGTGTGTGCATGTGATGTCTATGAGAGAAAACCTGTTACTGCTGTGATTAAGTGATTTTTAAGGCTGTAGTAAAGTGATTATTTCAAGTTTTGTCCCACAGCAGATGTGTGCTGTGGTAACGTTGTGGCACGCAGGCATTCATGGTCTCTCTCTCTCTCTCTCTCTCTCTAGGTTCTCAAGCATCTGCGCCACTTAAATTTCACCAATAACATGGGAGAACAAGTGGATTTTGATGAGTTTGGGGACCTGGTAGGGAATTACTCGATAATCAATTGGCATCTCTCTCCAGAGGATGGCTCCGTTGTTTTTGAGGAGGTCGGGCACTACAACGTTTATGCCAAGAAAGGGGAGAGGCTCTTTATCAATGAAAACAAGATCCTGTGGAGTGGATTCTCTAAAGAGGTAGGTGGTTAAATCCTCCCAGCAATGTCTCATTAAAAGACTCACTCATCTTAGTGTGTATTTATATATAGTCTCTGCTCTATTCCTTCACACCCTCATGACACACTTAGGGAAGTAACAGGCAGCTGCTTCTCCCCTCCTGCATATTTGACAAGCCTGGGTATTAATGCTTTAAATACTGCCTGTTTTCTGTCCCAAACAGTTCCACAAGGATGAGAAATTCACTGTCCAGGCCTGTTTTTTGACTAAGTCAGGTTTTCTTGAGTGCAGCAGTTTCATTGCTGAACACAGCCATCTCTTCCACTCGCAGCATCTCTGTATCAAGACGTGTCTCTTCCTGCTCCTAGTTAAATTTGCAGCTGTTTCTTCTGGCTTTACCCTCCAAGTTCCAGAGCCTTCAACACACCCTTGCCTTGTAAACCAAACAGAATAAGCTCTGTCAATCTTGCCAGGTCAACCTGGACACGGCTCTCAAACGGTGGGACACAACAGTACCTGATGCCTTTTTTTAATCCACCAGAAGGTGCTTGTGCAGTCACAAAAGTATGTGATGTAGCCATTGACTTCAGTCGGGCCTAACTCCTCCACTTTCTTGCATATGTTAGATCTTTTCAAAATAACTGTATTGTCACTAGCTGCCAGGGCTGTGCTTTCCCCACGTGATGGGAACACAGAGTAGGAATCTCCGGGCAAGAGCCAGGTGAGCTGGCACCATAGGCAGCAGCAGCAGCCCACTCCAACCTAAACAGAAACCCCAGCTCCCAGAGGGGATACTGAGCAGGCATCTGGATTGTGGCCTGGGAAGTGACATGGGAATCATTAGCTTAGAAATGTCACTTCCAGGCCCTTTTGCAATGTTTAGATGTATTAAATCTGCACCTGATTAATGAACAAGGCAAATCACGTCCAGGTGATGATTCACATGGGCTGACAGATCAGGTAACTGCTTCTGCAGTAGCTACACTTGCTCAATACACTTACACCATCAGTTAAGCCTTACCTCTACCCCAGATACTTCAGCTTCACTTATGGTTTAATTCCATCTCTGAAGGAGGCATGGGTCAGGCAGAGCATGCTGCAGCAGAAACACTGAGCTCAGGCTTTTCTAAGCCCAGCTCTGGAAACTCTGAGCCCAAACTACACGTGGAATTAACCCCTCTAATATTCTAACCCCTTCTTCTGATCATTGCAAATGCCACTGACACTTCCTCCAGCAGGCAAGATTTATTATTTTTTTTAAATTTATTTAAACTGAGTAATTATGCCCTTTTGGTCTAAATTCCTCCAGCAATGCAATATTTATCCTCATTCTCTGTCCTAAACTGCTAAAAATGTGACTGGATTTTTAAGAGTGTCATGCCAGGGCATGTAAATTGTGTGCTAGTAGAGGGGTTTGTAATATCTATGTCTGTTGGTGCTTTTTTTTCCCAGTATATAGAGTCTGAATTTCTTCCAGATAAAAGGCTCTGCTCAAAGACAGTAGCCAGCACATCAGTCACTGAAGCCTTCTGTGCCTCTGTCATCCTCAAAAAAGATTAAATTTATTTAATTTTAACATAGAAACTTCAGCATTTCCCAGACTTGCAAAAGAACGAGCTAAAGTGTAGGTAAGATAGATTTGTTTTGGCAGAACTTGATTAAATTCCCCACAGGAAACTTCAGAAGGCAGCCAAAGCAATCTCAAAAGTACTAGCAATTCATCTTTGAGACACATGGAGAATGGGTGATGTCTCAAAGGATTAGAGGAGGATAATCATAAAACCTGTTTTTAAAAGCAAATACAGGAGAGCCAACGGAATTACACACAATTGAGCTAAGGTTCAGTAATGTAAATGACTTTATAAAAAAATATTATTAAACAGTTTATAAACACTTTGGAGATAAGAAACTCATAAGAAAAAGCCAGCATGAATTTGTCAAGATGAAATCACATGAAACCAATTTAATTTGCCACCTTTGAAGCTCAGTCAGTTTAGGAGATAATGGAGAAGCAGTGCATGACTTCAGTCAGGCTTTTGATTCGTCCCTGTTCATAATCATCTGGGGCATCCTAGGGAAATACAGTCTAGATTGATGAAGTCCACTTGGTGGATGCACTATCTGCTGAATGACTGTCCCAAGGAATTAACAGCAAACTGTATTAGTAGCAACAGGTATTAACAGCAAAGAATATTTCAAGTTGGAAGCTGCAGGGATTTTTCCTGCATATGTGTCTGTCCAATTAATTACGCAGTCCTGATTAACAGCTTAGAAACATGGTTCCCAAACTATGCTGCAGCTTCAGAGTGATAGGCAACAACTGCTTTCACCTGCATGTGAATAGCTGAGCCACAAAATCATAGAATAACACAACTGTAGAATTTTTTGGTTGGAAAAGACCTTTAAGATCAAGTCCAACTGTTAACCTAGCACTCTGCCAAGTCCCCACTAACCCATGTTCCCAGCACCACATCTACCCATACCTCCAGGGATGATGACTTCCCTGGGCAGCCTGTTCCAGTGCCTGACAACCCTATTGGTGAAGAAATCTTTCCTAATATCCCATCTAAACTTCCCCTGGCACAAACTGAGGCCATTTCCTCTCATCCTATCACTTGTTACTTGGAAGAAGAGACTGACCACCACCTCGATACAATCACCTTTCAGGTAGTTCTAGAGAACGATAAGGTCTCCCCTCAGCTTCCTTTTCTCCAGACTAGACAACCCCAATTCCCTCAGCCTCTCCTCATAGGACTTGTTCTCTAGACCCTTCACCAGCTTCATTCCTCTTCTCTGGACATGCTCCAGCACCTCAATGTCCTTCTTGTAGTGAGGGGCCCCAAACTGAACACAGTTCTTGAGGTGCAGCCTCACCAGTGCTGCATACAGTGGGACAATCAGTTCCCTACTCCTGCTGGCCACACTTTTACGAGCTAGGATGCTGTTGGCCTTCTTGGCCACCTAGGCACACGCTGGCTCCTGTTCAGTTGGCTGTCAACCAGCACCCCCAGGTCCTTTTCCTCTGCTGCTTTCAAGTCATCCTTCCCCAAGCCTAGAGTTTGGGTTGTTGTGACCCAAATACAGGACCCATCACTTGGCCTTGTTGAACCTCACACAATTGGCCTTGGCCCATCAATCCAACCTATTCAGGTCTCTGCAGAGGAATTGTCACTACTGACAGCTTGCCTATAGAGGTAGATGCCTATAGGCAAGCAATTCCCAAACCATACCCCAGACTCACTGGCTGAGTGCACCCACACAGGAACTCCTTGAAGATCAGCAGGTTAGCAGCAATTTGGCAAACTAGCACTATACTTCCAAAAAGGTGACTTGAGGCTTCCAGCCAGAGCAGCCCTTAAGTGTGTACACATCATGGTGCTTTGCTGGCAGTGGAAATTCTGGGTTTAAGTCCCCTGAGCTGAGAAAGCTGTGTCCCATGTCACTTCTCTTTCCTTAATTTAGTTGGGAAAAGGGGAGCTCACCTGAGGTCATGCTTCAGTGTAAAAAAGGTCCAGGCTTCCTCTTCCTATGCTGAACTCCTTGTTGTCAGTGTGCATTAGGCATGTGGTGAGCATGCCCCTGTGACCACTTGCTGCCAGGATATGACTATGCCCAGGTGGCCTCACACACAGCATAAATGCACATCCAGCAGGTGACACAGATCATCAGTTGCAGCAGCAAAAGTCTGGAAGTCTCTGGAGTCTTTTGGATGCTGATTTGCATCTTTAGATGCTCAGAGTTCTAAAAACAGGGCTTTCCTCTGTTTCATATGAACACTTCTCTTGTTTTCTTAATGTACCTTTTATGTTTCTGGTTTGGAAGGGGTCTTAAGGAGAACAGGAGGAAGTGGCTTTTAAGAAACCGTCTTAATTTCCATATGTCATTAGCAGTCAATATGAAATATATATGGGATTGGGGATCAGCAGTCACAGCCCATCATCTCCAAGGCTGACTCAGATTCCTACCAGTAGAATCAAAGAATGATAGAACATCAGATTGAAAGGGACCTCAAGGATCATCTTCTCCAACCTTTCTGGGGAAAAACATGGTCTAGACGAGATGGCCTAGCACCCTGTCTAGCTGAATTTTTAAATATACTGGGAAATCCACCACTTCCCTAGAGAGATTGGCTGATCTCATTGTAAAAAATTTTCCTTTTATGTCCAAACAGAATCTCCCCAGGAGTAATTTTTTACCCATTACCCTTAATCTTCTCCATGTGACTCCTTGTAAGAAAGAACTACCATCTTCTTTGCAGCCATCCTTTAAATACTGGAACAAGAAAGATTCATTGTCTTGTCTTTTAACCATCTAATGACCATTTTCTGGTATGTGTGTCCTGGGTCACATACCAGTTTGCAGTGCCCACAATACAGCAGAGATTACAAAGATCTGCTGATCTTCACTACCATCCCTTGACGTGTTCTTTCAAATGTCACTGCAGTGGGTTGGGGAGCAAGTGTTGCGCAAAATGTGCCTGTTCTGCAGAGGGAAGAGGTGAGCCTCTGAGGCTCTCCATCCAGCATGCTAATCAAGGAAGAACAACTTTGGAGTAAGCCCAAGCTCCTGCAGTAGGAAGGCTGTATGTGGGGCACAGCCACCATTAACCATTCTCGGGCTCTTTTCTTGCAGGTGCCTTTCTCTAACTGCAGCAGGGACTGCCTCCCAGGCACCAGGAAGGGCATTATTGAGGGAGAGCCCACCTGCTGCTTCGAGTGCGTGGGCTGCCCCGACGGGGAGTACAGTGATGAAACAGGTAATACCCACAGAGCTGCTTTTGGGGGTTGCAGAGGACCGTGCAGAGGACCTCTGGACATCACCTGCAGTTGTCCTGAAGTTGCTTTGCTACAGTGCTGAGTTGGAGGCTGCCTTGCCGGAGGGCTTCACAGAAAGTCTGGAGGGACTTCTGAAAAGCTTACAGGAGTTGGATCCTGTGGTCCTCAGGTCCTGTCTTCTGCTAAGCCTGCTTGTTCCTTCTGCTCTGAGTTAGGAAAACAAAAGAAGGGAGCTTTAAAAAAGGACTTGAGTATAGGAAGCCTCTCAGGCAGCCACAAGCAAACTTCATTGCACTGTAGCTGTAGCTTTTATTCCTCAAAAAGCCTGGAGGAAGGAGATAGTCCCTACCCTAATCCTAAATTCTGCAGTTATCTGTCTGTCTCCAATTTTTCCTCACGTTGTCAGGGTTTTGTTTTATGCTTTATGAAGAAATTAATTCCATTCCATCCGTAACTTCACAAACAGAGAAGAATATTTCCTTTTATGGTGTCACCATCCACAACTTCTCTTGAGCACTAGCACTGCAAGAGACCAGAATCTCTGGGTCCTAACAAACACCCACAGACACCTTTTTTTTTGTTGGTGTCAGTGGGAGCTTGGATCAAGCTACTCAGGTTCTGCAGTGGAGGGAAAAGGTAACCTCAGTTTTAGAGCTGGTTGAAAAATTCTGGATTTCCAACACCATTAGTGCTTCCTCAGTGTCAGGCATTCCAAGGCTAACAAAGGCAGAGAACTCCTTTCAGAACAGCAGTCCCCTCCGAACTGCAGAGTGCTCAGGATCTCTTCACTTTTAAATTAAACAGAAGCAGTTCTGGTCTTGGGGTTGTTTTTTTTTCCAGGATTTTGTGAGCTGTCACTGGTGTGCTGGTAAAATTTGTGGGGCTGAAGGGTTGACTGCCTTCTGCCTCCACAGTTTCTTGTTGCTATTTCAGCTGACAGTAATGCTCTGTGTTTCCTGTGCTTGCCAGTTTTATAGGCTTTACATGTGCAGAGAGCACAACCAGTCTCAACCTGCTAAGACAGCAATGCTAACAAAGGAGACAATCTGTCATGTCCTCTCTCTGCTGTTTGCTCCCACCCTTGGTCTGGGAGCAGTGCTGGTTACTTGTCCAGTCACAGAGCAAGTTTGATCAGGTCTCTGATCTTCTTGAAAACAAGCTCTTGGCAGGCTGAACTTCCATCTAGATCGAGAAACTGCATGACCCCTAGTGCTAATGCAAAGGAGCGGGCAGAAATGAGCAGCCTCTGGGGAGGTGGGAGATCTGGTTTATTCCCTTTAGTGGCAGCATGGTCTCTTAAGTCAGCTCAAGAGAAGAGTGAAAGCACTTCTTCAGGATGAAGTGTTAAATAGCTGCCCCTGTCTCTGGTAGAGGCTGTTGAAGTCCCTGTTACGTGAAGTTAGCTCTGTCTTGCCTGCAGTTTGCAATAGGCTTCTAAGAAAAAGGCACAACAAAAATGAAAATGATTGGTTGAATTGATGTAAATGAAGCTTCACATGGTGACGGGAGCTCCTGACAGAGCCTTTGCATTGAGTGCAAGTTCTTCACATGAACAGCTTAGATGAGGCAACCAGTTATTATGAATGCAGTACCATATCAGGACATGGAAGCTCCCTCCAAGCATCCCTGTGAAGTGAAAGCTTGAAATCCTCTGCCCTCACTAGCTGGGCATTCTTGGTTTTTCCATTAGCATTGAGTGCTACTCAGGGAGCTATGCCCTGTGTCTCTGTCCGTGCTCAGGTGCAATGCTCAGAGGGAGGCTGCTGCTAAAGGAGGTTTCTGAGTGTTTGTTCCCACAACTCTCAGCAGCCCATTGTTATCCCATTGGGATCCCGAAGGCTGAGGTAGGTTGTGACTTCCAACTCACAACTCTCAACCCCTTTCCACTGCCATCAAGAGTCATGACCCTCCCCACTGGAGCACAGGACCTGTTTAGGTTACAGGAAAGCGGAAGCAGCAGGTCCTTGCCTTTTGATCATGGCAGCATTGGAGATGTATGTTGCCACCCCACTCAGCACTAGTTTGGCATAGAGGAAGGAGATGGAGGCACCAGTTTTTCCTTTGCAAGCATCAGTGGGACACTTTGCTGGGTGTGGGGAGAGTGATATCATTAAGACACATCTTCCCTGATGTTGCAATGTGAAATGAGGGTGTGCTTGGAGTCAAGGGCATTGCCTGCCTTCAGGGAAGGGCAATTTAAACACCTCTGAGACACATCTCCGTGGAATATGAAATAGGCTTTCAAAGCACTTAGGGAGGGAAGCACATTTTTAAATTTCTCTGTAATAGAGACAGGCAGAATGTTTCAAATTATAATAAAAGTGTGAGAGAGTATGAAGATAGATAGTAGATGACAAAAATGAAGGAAGAAGTAAGGAAGAGGAACAGAGCCTCTGTAACAGCTGATAGCAATCAATGTTTTCAAAGTTCTGTGAAGAAATGGAGTTCAAAAACACAAGTGCAGGGGCAGGACTTTTTTTAAGCTGGAACTAAGCATGTTGTGTGTTTTGCTGTATAGCCCTTGGGAGGCTCATTGTTTCAGTGTAGAACACCCTGAGACACCAACATATAATTCTGGGAACCTGCAGGCACCTGAAGGGAACACTCCGTGTATTTAAAGGTGTCATCCCACATTTCAGCCTCTCGTCCTGACAAACCTTCCCTCTCCCTATCACTTTTTTTCAGATGCAAGTGCATGTGACAAGTGCCCTGAGGATTACTGGTCCAATGAGAACCACACGTCCTGCATCCCCAAGCAGATAGAGTTTCTGTCCTGGACTGAACCCTTTGGGATCGCTCTGACTCTCTTTGCTGTGCTGGGAATTTTCCTGACTTCTTTTGTCCTTGGAGTATTCACCAAATTTCGCAACACACCCATCGTCAAGGCCACAAACCGTGAGCTGTCCTACCTCCTCCTCTTCTCTTTGCTCTGCTGCTTCTCCAGCTCATTGTTCTTCATTGGAGAGCCCCAGAACTGGACTTGCCGTCTGCGGCAGCCAGCGTTTGGCATCAGCTTTGTCCTCTGCATCTCCTGCATCCTAGTGAAAACCAACCGTGTCCTGCTTGTCTTCGAGGCAAAGATACCCACAAGCCTCCACCGAAAGTGGTGGGGCCTGAACCTCCAGTTCCTCCTGGTCTTCTTGTGTACATTTGTGCAGATTGTCATCTGTGTGATTTGGCTTTACACAGCCCCGCCATCCAGTTACCGAAACCATGAACTGGAGGATGAGATTATCTTCATCACCTGCCATGAAGGCTCCCTGATGGCCCTCGGCTTCCTCATTGGCTACACCTGCCTCCTGGCAGCCATCTGCTTCTTCTTCGCCTTCAAGTCTCGAAAGCTGCCTGAGAACTTTAATGAGGCCAAGTTCATCACCTTCAGCATGCTGATCTTCTTTATTGTCTGGATCTCCTTCATCCCTGCTTACGCCAGCACATACGGCAAGTTCGTCTCTGCCGTGGAGGTGATTGCGATCCTGGCTGCCAGCTTTGGGCTCCTGGCCTGCATCTTCTTCAACAAAGTCTACATCATTCTCTTCAAGCCCTCCCGCAACACCATTGAGGAAGTGCGCTGCAGCACAGCTGCCCACGCTTTCAAGGTAGCTGCCAGGGCCACGCTGAGAAGGAGCAACGTCTCACGCAAGCGCTCCAACAGCCTGGGGGGCTCCACTGGCTCCACCCCGTCCTCCTCCATCAGCAGCAAGAGCAACCACGAAGACCCTTTTCCTCTGCCAGCCTCCGCTGAGCGGCAGCGCCAGCAGCAGCGTGGGTGCAAGCAAAAGGTCAGCTTCGGCAGTGGGACAGTCACCCTGTCCCTGAGCTTTGAAGAGCCGCAGAAGAACGCCATGGCCAACAGGAGCACCAAGTGCAGGAACTCTCTGGAGGCCCAGAACAGCGATGACAGCCTCATGCGGCACCGGGCCCTGCTTCCCCTGCAGAACAATGAGCCTCTCAGCTCTGAGCCTGGCTTCCAGCCAGCATCCAGCCCGGAGACCAGCTCACAGGAGTCAGTGGTGGGAGACACCAGAGAAGAGGTACCAAGCCCTGAGGCGGAGCCTCCCTTGCCGTCAGCTAACTCCCGAAATTTTATAGGCACTGGAGGTGGCTCTGTCACAGAGAACACGGTACATTCCTAACAAAGAAGATCCTGAAAAGCACAGCAGTTCCCAGGAGGAACTGGCTCACCTCTTGCTTCTGAATGGGAAAGACAACAAAGACACACTCCTGTGACACAGCCCCACCACATCTTACTGTCAGCAGCAGCAGGGTAACACATGTACCTCCAGAGGAAGGACTGTGTCTTGGGAGCCTTGGACTGAATTCACGTTAATTTTATCAAAACCAGGACATCTCAGAAGGACAAGTGAAGATCACCACTGCTGGGGCCTAAGCACAAGTCTGCATGCTGCCTTGCCTCTGAAAGCTTTTCCTGCCAGACTGCAACTCAGCTGACTATGGGAGGCACCAGGCAATTCCACTATACTCTGCTTTTACATTTATGTATAATATTCCTCTTTCCCACTATGTATAATATTCCCTCTTTATCCAGTATATGTGATCTGTAACCATGTGCATCAGGACTGTCAGCGCTACAAAAGCAAGGTACACTGTTTCACTTGGGGAAAGCATGGTTGTGGGGAAAATAAAAAGCCCCCAACAACCTGCCTGCTGTGTACAGCCAAGGGTGTGAACATGTAAAGTATTTAATGTGACAGAGTGCCCTGCTATTTATATTTAGTAATGTCCCAACCTCTCCTTTCTGCCCAGCAGGAAATACTGGACAATACTCCTCATAGACTCCATTGCACTAGACCAAGCTACTAGGTTCCTTCTGGTTTCCTCCAGCTGAGGTAGCTTTACCTCCAGCCTGCCTGCTTTGGTGGAGGGGGAGAACAGCTTGTGAGTCCCTCTCTGAAGAAAGTTCCGAGAGCACAATGAGATGTATCCATGATTGATTATGTCGCTAGTAGCTGTATGATTAACAAAGTGTTGCTGCTGTAATATTCCACATGGCATACATGGCTAACCCATTCACACCATAGTCAGTGTTATGCTTTGCCATAATAATCTTCCTCACACCTACACGGAGCACTGTGCTAGTCATGACGATGCTGGCAGGCCCAAGACAAAGCAAATGAAACAGGGTGAAATGGTGAAGTTAGCAATGGAGAAATATACCCAGCTGGGGAAATAAGATTGCAGGAATGGGTGAGTACCTCAAGTGTGTATGCTGGTAGATGACTGGGAGAAGAAGACATATAGGCCCAGGCTCCGAGACACACAAAAAGACAAATAGACAGATTTGTTATATTTTGGCTCCTATAAGAAATCCACAAGGTTATTTCCCTCCTGGCCCATCTTGAAGAGAGAACACTTAGCACAAGGGTGGACTATACCTTAAGAAAAACAGTAGGGGCTTCAGCAGAGAGCACAGCACAACTTTGTTACTCTTGACACTCTTCCCACTCCCCCAAAAGCAGATGTAAGTGCTCCTGGTTTTGCAAGGTGTGTCTGGTTCTTCTCCATACATGCTGGAAAGGTTGGAAGGAAGAGAGGTGTTGTAAGAGCTATTTTTTTTGCACCCTGGTGAGAGAAAAAGCACCCCTCAACAGTCTGGCCAGAGGGTTGGGATTATGTTGTAGAATTTAGCTCCTTCTTCCCAGATCCCATGTGCCAGGACAAACATCTGGCATGAAGATGTCAGTACCCCCATCCCTCATCAAACAAGAAAGTGGGCTAAGCCACCATGGAAAGGCAGACAGGCATGCAGCTTAGTGTGAGCAAAGGCAAAAGGACTGTGTGAATGTGTTGGGGAAGATACCACAGTTCTCTTCTTGCTGTTTTCGCTTGGTTGTTCTTTTGCCAGGGCAGGCAAATAAAACTTACAGGTGACATTACCGCTAAAACCTTTGTTTTGACACCTCTGCTTGTTGCTGATGAGGAAGGAGTTTTGGCTTAGGAGAGCAAAGTGGAAGTCCATAACACCGAGGAGCATGCTATTAAGACAAAAGCATTGTTGATCTGTTGCATTCACCTCAGTGAATGCAGGCCTTCAAATCGCAGTATTTTATTAAAGCTGTGGCCCAGCAGGTTAAAAGGGGGAAAAAAAAAAAAGAGTTTGAAAACAGAAATCATAGTGGCCACACTGGTAAACCACATTCTAACCCTTGACCCACTGGGAGTTGCTCATTGCTTCTGAAAAAACAAGTCTCGACCCACAGGCTGCTGGCTGTGGGCTCTAGGCTGTTTAGAATATGGAGTTGAGAGCTACAGTCTCCTGAACCTAGATGGATGAATGGAGATGGGCACTAGATGGCAGAAAGAGCTAAAAAAAATACTTCAGTTACTGCCCACACTTCCAAAAATTTCAGCAGCCAAATAATTTTAGTTGCTAGTGAATCATTCCTACAGGCCAAAACCTGTACAGCAGCCCCTGAACTGAAGCTGACAGCCCTGAAAGGCACAGAAGTGCTTAATGAATGAAATGAAAATGACAGGATACAGTCTGAAGACTGTGCATGGAAACACACAAGGTAAGAAACAGTCACCATCAGCTGCTTTGTTTGGAGAACAATATTTACTGGCTACCCAGAGTGGATAGTGTTGACATTTGGGTGGTTTTCATTCTTTGGGTGGTTTTCATTCTTTAGGTGGTTTTCAATCTCTACATCTACTTAAAGGGAATTTGTACCCTGGCACACAACGAGGCTTCAACAGCTGCTGTAATTTCGTAGTGACAGACCAACCATGCTCAATTTGCTGGAGAACCTCCATCCACCCTCACTGCAGGCATACCCCAAGCCCTAAGCTCCACACACTGTGAGAGCTGCTGCTACAGCCTTTCCTAGTGACACGTGTTAAACGCAAAGGAAGTTCAGGAAACAAGGACCCTCTTCACGAAGGTGATTTGCAATCAAACCTTTTCCATGCACAGAGGAGGGTGTATATTCTCATCCTGCCAAGTCCATGAGAAGAGGAGGTCCAGAAGCCTCTCTCTGTGTCACGCAAGATGATACTGATGAAGCCAAGTTGAGTAACATTCTGTAGAAACCTCAAGCCTGAGAACCTCCACTGGTATGTCCCAGCAGAAGTTGCCCAGGGAAAGGGCTGCTTCCATCCCCCGTGGCTCAAAAACCTCCTGGAAGGTGTGTCCCAGTGCAGTGAAGCACTGTCCTGAAGTCCTGAAGCACCTAGCAGAGATGCAGCAGGGACACAAGCAAAAAGTGCATCAACTCTGTGGCGGGATTTCCATGAGTCATCTTGCCCGATGGGCAGGGAACTGTCTCAGTGAAGAGCCCAATCCTTCACTCCCCCTCTACCCACTGACCCAGCAGGTCTGGGCTTGCCGAAAGCCCCAGCAGAGCACTAATCTGTTCTCCACAGAGAAGAGAGGTGATACCAGGGGAAAGAAACCCTTCATCCCCGTTCTGTTTCAGGCTTCTCACCGTGTCCTCCTTTCCAGTGCAGAAGTCCATTCAGAATGCAATAAACACTGCTGGTAAATTTAGGGTTGTCTTTACCAAATGTGCCTCAGGATGCTGGGGAGCAGGGAGAAGGAAGATAGGTGTTTGTTGTTGTTGTTGTTGTTCCAAGGAATCTGGATGTTCAGACTGGGGGTAAATTTAGCTAAAGACCTAGGACTGAAGCCTCACCAGGGAGTTTTTCAAAGGCTGGGTAGCTCAGCACAGCCTTCAGTTTGCTGGCTGGTGCACAGCAAAGCCAGCCGGGGAGAGGGGACACCGAACGCCGTGAGTGAGGGGTCCTGGCGGGGTGAACCTCCCACCCTGCCGGCGGCTGCTGGAAGACGCGACACGCCGGACAAGAGGAACCTACAGCTGAGGGCACCCAGAGGCCGCTCGGAGCCTCCACCCCGGTCCCGCCCCCGGTCCCGGTCCCGCCCGCGGGCGGACGCGGCGCTGCGGGG